GTAGTATACTATACATGTCGGCAAAATTATTTAGGGGTCGTTCCCCCGGTTCTTATAGCCATGATACTAATGGGTTAACGTTGGATGTCCGATACATGTTTTTGATATGATCACTTTGAAATCAATAACCGGTATTTTAAGATATTTTAAAATAACCTATCTGAATATAGTCTTATTAGTTGTGTAATTGACAATTAAATCAATAGAAACATAAAGCATATTCATTCCACAAAACAAGAGAAAGCTGTTAATCAATATATTAGGGTCAGTGCATTATGGGGACATTGGTTTGAAGCCTGTCGTATATTGATTAATTTTCCAAAAGAAACATCACTTCTTTATCGCAAAAAGGCGAGTGTCCGGTGTAAAAATTTACAGAACAATGAGATCTTTTCTTCGTAAGGCATCGACTTAAAGGATGAAAATAGTTGTTTATTGTTGAGATGGATAATAAATATACGCCTTGGAAATAGCAAATGGCGAAGCTTATACTTTACGTTTTAATTTCTAATTTAATCTCCAGGTATTTGTTGTATTCTAAGATATATATTTTTTGATGTTTTATTTTTCCGCTAAATAACTCTGGCGAGGATTTTTTATTTTTGTTTGTGTGGTCGTCAGACTAGCCAGACAATTATTTTTTTAGATTTTGTTTTTGATTTTACAGAAGTCCACATATAAATGTAGACGAACACGTGATTAATATTTGGAAAGATTCAGATTTGGATACGGGAAATTTTGATCACTTTGAATTTTATTTCCTTAAACATTTATTAAAATTCTATGTAAATGACTGGGTGAGAATAATATAGATTAACAGATTTTGACAGTTTTAATGATAACAAGAGGCCCATTGGTAACAAAGCTCACACGAGTCCCCTGGACCCTCCCTTTTTAATCACAAGATTAGATCCAAGAAGTACGTCTTTATTCACATGAAAATTCCTTTCCCCGTATTATGGCATCACCTTAGCCCCAAAGGGTCATGACATAACTTATATTGAATCAAAACATCCTGGGGATGCTTCGATAGGACAAACACGGCCTTGCTGTTCTGCGGAAGAAGTAAACGATTGCAATCTTAACCCAACTCTAAGCCCAGAACTTATCTACTGAAGATAAAAAAAAAATGAATCCACATAATTTTGGAACGTTTCCGTATGAATTTGAGTGTTTTAAAAATAAAATTCTTATTTAATTTCATATTGTTTCCCTATTATGGCCCTGAGCATCTTAAACCCAGGGGCCATAATTTGAACAAACTTGAATCTGCACTGCCTGTGAATGCTCGCATACTCTTATCTAAGGTTCTAATAATTCTTTTGACGATTGTTTGCTTTGAATGTATTACTGACCTATTAACTTATTTAAATGATACTTTGACCTTCTCCTTGTGTAACAACGCCACACGCAGGATATATCGCATCCACAACATGTAATCCTATTCATCGATGCAACATCAATATTAAGTACTAATGTATATCATTGATTATCTTTGGGACATTAAAACAGCTTCGAATACAAATTTCCTAGAAATGTACTTCATAAACAGGTTAAAAAAAAAAATAAATAAATTTTTTTCAAACAAAATAAAAACAAAATTTATTCAAAGTTTTAATATGTATATATATATATATATATATATATATATATATATATATATATATATATATATATATATATATATATATATACACGAGTAGTATAAACAAACTATCAAATTTATAGTTGTGGGACCATATACATTTGTCCTTATTAACCTGACCTTGCGCAACTTTCCCATGATTAATGGAAGAATATGCATTACGCCATTTTTGTGCATTTCTTAAGAAAAAACATCATAATAATAACTTTCTGTATTCATTATTTGTCTTGTCACAACAAAGGTTGAAAATACGTACATGTACTATATTTTCACATGTAGACTTAATTTTGCGGCTGTTCAGTTCAACGATTGAACAAACTGGGAAAAGCCAGCACTAATCCCAGCTAAATATAACAGGTATTTAGCGCATTTAAATATTCTTTTCAGATAACTAAAACGTGCTGGTGTTGTTTCCAATTTCATTCACACTTCCAAGTTCATGTATTGATACATTTGCAATAAATGGTAATGGCAATTTCAGTCTCATTTACGCATTATTGAATATATTTTCAATTACGTATTTCTGGACAGGTCATTGATATGTTGATAAACTAGTCTTCAAAACATTTCGTCCACAACGCTATAAGGTGTTAATGTGAATCTATAAATCTGTCTATTGCAAGAAGTTAATGTTTCATTGGGATAAAAACTAGACCTTTTACGAACAAGGCCAAAATTTTCGCACATGTCGACTCTATGCTTGCAGAATACCTTCATCAATAAATATGAAAGACATTGCCTACGCCGTATGTATAATGCGCTGTATTAAATATGCGCCGCCGATAAAGGGCAATAGAAATTGTTTTTAAATACGCGATTATGTTAACCAATAAATACGATGAATTCAAGCATACAAGAAATCATTTCCACTAGAGCCAGTTCGTTAAAATAGTGAGGTTAGAAACTTAAAGTAAAGATTTAAATCCGTGTGAGTAAAAGATGCATCATAATCTCGTAAAAAGCTTTTCAAAAACATTTTGAACTGAAATGTTTAATTAAAGAGGCTGGGGGGTTGTGGCCATTTTTAGACTATATTGATCTCCTTTAGAAGAAGAGCTCCATATGAAGATATAGAAAATGATCAAATTTTAAAACTAAAATTTTTGAAATTTTTCTTTGCCAAATGATAGTTGACAGCTTAAGATATCATATCTAAAAAATTAAGTTAAATCTGGTGGTTAATTTGTGGTTAATTTGTTGACCCCCCAGCCTCCTTAAAGCGACATGTTTTGGTTATTTTGCTACAGGAGTGCCCAATTGGTCTTAAAGACGTAGTGTACCTTGTATTCATAAGGAATTTTAGTCATCTTATTTAACTATAATTTGGTGTGAACATATTTCATTGTAAATTAAATTAATTATTGCAGATAGATTGGACATGTTATAAAAACTTATTACGCCCTCTTCCTTCCTCGACGCTATCGTCCAGACCACTTAATTATTTTTTAGCCAATCAGTCCTTGTTGATTTATTAAAAATATATTTTTTTAAAATTATATCATAATAATAAAATGACACCACGAGGTTCTAATGCAGTAACATCCCTTTGATGAATCAAGTGGTCAAGAATATATATATTAATTAGATCTAAAAAAAAAAAAAAAAAAAAAAAAAAAGGTGCATTTTTCGTTTCTATTCGCCTTGAGATTTGTACATCTTGCGATGAAATTTACGTATCTTTATCTTTATCTTATCACTGTCGATAGCTAAATAGAGAATCATAAACTGTACACCACTACTAAGAGCAATCGCAACTTCTCGGGCCTTTCCGACAAGCGGAAGTTTACGTAGGCGTCCATGACAACCCCCTTTTCACAGACTTTTAAATAAATATCTGTTGAGTATGGAGTTAAACTCCGTTGATTGTAAAGATATTGACTTTCAACTCCGTCCACCCAATACTTTAATAGATAAGAAATGACTCCATTTTGTATAAATTTTAACATCCGGTGATGCAAATACATTCGAGGGATTTTTCCGAGCTTGGCGAAAAGGCCTGGGAATTTGCGATTGCTCCTAAGAGCCCTTCTACAGTTATACATTTGTACATTCAGAAATGATTTTTTTTTTAAATTCATGCATCTATTATTTAAGGTCTTAAAAATAATCCGTGAGTAATTTTAAAATTGGACACAATGTGTCAATCAACATTATATCGCTTTTGATATACATGTATTTGATTTATTTTCAAATTCTGTCTGGCCTTGTTTGTTATGACAATACCCCCCCCCCCCTTACCTTATTTCTTGGAGAATTGGTACTAATGTAACATTAACATGTATTAAAGTGCACAGTGAGGTTTATATGTATAGACTTTTCAACGGACGATACCAAAATAAATATACATTACAAATTAACGAGCATTAATATTATTGTTCTGTTTGCTTACAATGCCGAGTTTTTCGCCATTTGTAAAAGAGGTTAATGGAATTGCCTTTATCAGATTTGTTGGTCAGCATCTGGGTCACAGAACCATGTATCTACATGTAGGTCTGTTTTGAGGGTGTCTGCAAGGAAGTTGTCGGTTTATTGAGCCTTGGTTGCATTCCAAAAACGATATCGTCTTCTTAATTATATAATTTCTGTTAACGAAGATCGGGACGCACAAGTCGTTTCCAAGAAAATGTTTTGCATTTTGTATTGTCTTTTCTTCTGGTGCTTGTCGATTTAGTACTGCTGATTTGAAATGCTCTTCCTCTCTTTGCATTTCTTCCTCCAGGGTATTGGGAGTATTTCTCTCTTTATCTTTCGTTGGCTGACTCCCTTTCTGATGTTTTCTAATGAGAAGTCGGAAGTTCTAGTACGGAACTTTAATGTTCATATTAAAAGTAAATATTGATGCAAATTAAGAATGCACCATCAATTATTTAAATTCTTGTAAGAGACACATATAACCGTGGCCATGGCATGTAATTACCAAAAAAAAAACTACTTCGGAAAGGATGGAAACAAGATCTACTTCATCATTTAAACGACATGTAGTATCTACAAATGAAATAAATATATGGGTATTTTAAAAATAATTAGAGCTGAATAATTGTGACCACATTCGTTTAATTCCATAAAACGGAGAGAAAAATCACTAAACTGTAGCTAATCTGCATTAAGTTCTTTTTTAAAATGACTAAAAGCGTCCTTGAGGATCGATTTCTAAACATTTCATTCAAACGGATTCAATGAAAACATTCCACTCTAAGTAAGACTTTTACCTCAGTTGTACGCTTGCCTATTTGTTGTGATAATATGATAATACGTTATTATCATTTTCGCCCTGAACTACAGAACGCACATCATAGTGTGAAAAATGAATCGTTGTAATAGACATAAATAAGGCTTCCAGCAGTAGATCGCTTCAGTGTGTACGGAGTCTCTCCTCAGTGACTGAGCACGTTGCTTAGGGAGTAGGAGAAACCGATCGTCATTTATCACCAATCCAGGCTAATTCAGTGATAATAGGCACATAAGGTCAAACTCTGGTGTGCAATGAATGGGATATAATTCGAATAGTGTGCCCAGGTAATAATTTCATTTGTTTTGGATTTTTGAAAAAAAAAATGCTTGTTCAGTTTTTTTCTTTCTCATATGAATATTATTTGTTCGGTATATGAAGAATAACTTAAACTTAAAAATATTAATCTTGCATATATCTCAATTAATGGAATTTTCAGTTTCATTTGAAGTGACACTTTTTTAAAATGATTTTTTGGAATGAACAAAATATGATTTCAAGTACATGCAAAAAAGCAGCATTATTAAAAAAGTTTTAATTTTTCTACCTTTAGACAACTTTCTTTTATTATTTATTGCACAATCTTATTGTTACATGTAACTCTACAAAACGTTTATTTGGGGTTTTCTACTTAAAAGTGCTTCAATAAAGAATCAATTATAATTAAGATAAGGGTTTTAATCAATTAAAAAAAATGAAATTTATACTTTCTTAAATATAACATCTTTTTAACTCGCTGTAAATACTGGGTAAATTCCTTTTCATCACAGTATGAATTCAGCTTTTCTTTCCATCCTCTGCGTTGGAAAAAGACTTGAGAATTCTATACCTTATATGTCTTTTTTTTTGTAATTAATTTTCTGTTCTCACGGAGAGAATAAACACTTTAATATGTCAAATGGCAACATTTTATTATTCGATTTAAAATGATTAATCAAAAGTTGTTTTCAAATTATTTTCGTTCACGTCCTTTTTATTTGATAAGCGATCTGTGAAGTAATTATTCAGCTTTTAGCATAAAATTCAACAAAAATGATAAGCACCCTTGATCAAAGGTTACAATCCATCACCAGACGTCATTATTGAATTAACTACAGTAATCAACATTTATATCTTTTTTTAAAAGTAGAAAACATTTTTTTCTTCTTATACCAATGTATAAAATACATTCACAATGAAAAAAGGAATAAAACGGATATCAACCTATCCGATATAAACACTGTGTTTCCGTTATTTTATATATATGCGCACGAACTCAACATAAACAAACATGTACTTACGGACCTAATTGTCTTTTCAGGACAGATGTACTTTCTGATTGTGATTCAAATTTAAAACGAGGAGAAACAAACATCATAGAGGAACTTTTTCTGGATCAAATTATTAAAGTCAACAACAGTGTAACTCTTCAACATGTAAACTTAGTTTTGCAACTCCTCTAATGAAAGCTGTTCACCACTCATTATAATGAATTCTTTCGTGTAATCCGAATAGTAAACATTCCATAAAGAGAAAAACTAATAACAAAATAGACAAATATGGAGGGGTTTTGTGGGGTTAATTAATCTGTCATCGATGTAGCGAAAAGGTGGAGAAATAATAAACTTCAAAGAAAGGATTTCGCTTTGCCATATCAAAATGAATGATTCTATCGATAACACTACGACTGTAATGGACGATCTGTGTCCTCATACCGGTGTAATTTCGTGGTACTCTTGTGTCTTTGAGCTATATGCACCAACTGCTTTATTTGTGGACAAATATATAAGTCCTGTTCTCTATTTCATTGGGCTCTTTGGGAATATTCTGACGATCAAGATTTGGAGCAGACGTATTCGAAAAACCAATACATCGGCATTGTATCTGACAGTTCTTGCATTGTCTGACCTTTTCATGTTATGCCTGCATTCCGTGATGGAACTTCAGTTTACATGGGGCGTGAGTACCCTGAACAAACCTACATGGTGCCCCGTTTTCTTCGTCTTTTATATGTTTGCTCAATACATGAGCCCCCTTCTTATTATGGGATTCACTCTTGAAAGGTTCATATCTATTGCCATTCCATTCAAAGGTGAGCGCTTTTCAAGAAGAAATCGTGGTGCATTAGAAATTATTGTGATAATTCTAGTTTCCATCTTATTGGCAGTACCTCAAATATTTGGATGGACCGTACTTCCAGATGGCGAATGTCAAGGAACTGGATCAAACTTTTTCGAAACCTGGATTTGGGTTAGTGATATTCTAGTGTTTTGCGTATTTCCAGTTGTCTCGTTGGTGTTGAATATTCTAGTGATAAACGCGGTTTCTCGTTCAATAAAACTTAGAAGGGATACCGCCCCGACCTACGAAATGAATGGATTCAGTAGCAAACTTTTGAAAACAAAATCGAAAGACAACAATCGGGTTCGTTTACGCATCTCCACGGTGACACTCCTGTGTGTCTCTTTCTACAGAATTTTCACCGTTATCCCAGTTGCTATAATATTTGCTTTACAGTACAGAATTCCACCTGGAGATCAGACTTTATCTGTGAGTGAAATAGGAACAGACTCAACATGGAGAGCATTCTTTGACTATTTCACCGCGAAAAAGATAATTGATGAGATCGGACTTTCGCAATACTCCTGTAACGTTTTCCTCTATTACATGACGGCAAATTACTTCCGGAACGAAGTGTGCAGACTCTTTCAGTCATTAACAGAATGCAGAGTAAGAAATTCCGATGCGAGAGGACGCAAAAGTGGCACTGAGATTTCGACAAAAGGGACTGTTGTTAGTTTGCGGAAGTCATTTTATGATTAGAGGCTGAAATGTGAATTTAATGATTTCTTTGAAAGGATCTGACCGTAGCTTAAATGAGGCAGTGAAGTATAAGTATGTGATAAAGCATTCCGATTTCCAATTTTTTTTAGATTTCTTATGACTTTTCTCCAAATCGTCATATCATAATCATAAATGCATACATCTATATGCTTTGAGCAGAACTGGTCTGTTTTAATGTTTTGTGACATTAAATTTGATTTTGTCGCGCTTAGAATTTGGATTAAATTCAAATGTTTATCAAATATATTAGTTTTTTTATTGCTCTTATTAGTTTCCTAATAAATGTGTATTTTAAAACTGAGGTGCAAGTGTTTGTGCAGCATACACGTACTTAGTTTGTAGCTTTGGACTATATCTAAAGTACTGTTTTGCAATTACAAGGCAAATTTTATTGTTTCATAACAAGACCTTAACGTTCCCTTTCCTCGTTGTAACTCCTTAATTTTGAAATTTAAAACAACCTTACAAAGGTAAAGCATTTTGTTTATATCAAACAAACCTTTACTATTTATTATTTGGTATTTAAAGAAAAAGCAATTCCTATAAATACCGGTATATTAAGTATTTTCTTTACTTCGGTCAACTACGCATGCTTGACTTTAATTCTTCAAAGCATTGAATGCCACACAGCTCGTCTCGTTTATTGGTGTGGTAGGGCGAGAAGATTAATATCTATTTAGTTTTTGAATATTCAGAGAGTCAGTGTATTATATAGCATCTTATGCTCTAATTAAAACAATCCGATATGCATAGACGCTGGGTTTGAGGGATAATTATGCCGATTGCCTCATGCGGAACTCAGAATCATATATCATGAGACAGGTAAGGCAGAAATAATTAGTGTATGGGAATTATTTCAACCCACGGCGTCTGCTTTTTGTGGAAATGCTTGAATCCGAAGATGGATTGAGAGATTTAGTTTGCGTCAGTCTTTGCTTGACCCATTTTGAATGACATCTGCATAATATATATTGGTATATCATCATAGATGTCGGTATGACGTACTTTAAGGCTAATATCAGGGAGAATTGAGGTCTGGAGAACTATTATTGTACAAACTTGCAATTTTTTTTAAACATGCTTGTTAATTTCTTGTAAATATTAAGATATCAAATACATAAATATAGACCAAGGTCTGTTATTAGTTTGATCTTTTTGTCATCAGAAGAAAGATATAATTATGCAGCTTATATAGTAATACCTTCTTCCAGGTCAATACATTTATTGTATTGCATTTTGTAATTGTAAACTACAGACTTTAAATAACCTGTATACGCACAGGTTGAAGAGAATGTGAATAAAATAGCTGAGTGAAATTGAAGCCATGGAAGTACATTTAGGCACTGTAATGATATGAAGTTCTGTTGTAATATTTTTTTTTATTTGGAGGAGGAAATTTAATATTTATTTATTATATACTACAATTATATAGATACAGTACTAGCACAGTTTAAACGTTTTTAAGTACCCCGCTCGTGAATTGTATTTTTTTTCATAATAAATCAAAATGTCTATGTTATTACAGATCATCATAATTAAGCAGCCTACAGAGACTGAACCTTTAGTAAATTCCCAATAAAGACTAAAAATTAACCAGCTAAATACAGTCATGTAAAAAATAGAAATGAAAAAATATGGATAATTCAAGCTATTGACAAACATATTGATGAAACAAGAATATCAACAGGCTCGTTTAAAGTCAATAATTTTGCAAGTTCTTTGTCGATACAATGATCTCGTCATTGCTACTGACGTTTTTCATACTAATTGTTGGGCCATTATTTACACACTTTTCAATTTTTCCCGATGGAGCACAAGGCGGGTTTGACCGGTCGGTAGGGGATGTTTATTCCTCCATGGCACCTGATTCCACCTCTGATGTTTTAGAGGTCCGTGTTTGCTCTGCTCCTGATTTGTATTGTTTGAATGGACTTTTGAGCTTGAATACTGATCGTTATCTCCGTATTTCAATGTTACATGTTATATTCACATATCATACGAATTGAATAATTTTACGACATTCTCTCAAAATGAATATCTTTTTTCAAGCACAGAACATTTTCGCTAGCAAAGACTTTTTGGTCAACTCTATTCCCCTGAGAGGCCCGACATTCAACTCCTTGCAAAAATGGCATTTCATATTTTGTTTGCGCATGATTGTGCTATTTAGTGAGCCAGTAAAAATATTTCATTAGTATACATTTATAAAGACGCCAGGAATGGATGAACGATGCATGTTGTTGTGTGGAAACTTTTCTGGAGCACGCAATAAACCCATGGCTGATGGAAGTTATCAAAATGATTTCATTTTAAAAAAATTTTACTCACTGGAGGATAGATCCTGCCCAAAATCTATCGCATATAGTTCATCTCCTCCTCTCGTTTACTACTGACCCGCAAGTTACGTGTTACTGTAGTAATAAAACAATGATCAATTAATTCTACTTTAATTTGCCTTTAATATAAAATCCAAACATTGACACATAAAAAAATATACAGTTTTCAATAATAATTTAAATGTTACACACTAGTTACACTAACGTGTCACATACATGTAGTATGAATATATACTATATACTTATTGATTAAATTACTGTTCTCTGCAGTTGTTTACAGATCACACGGCACATCTCTCTTATTATTAGCCGACCTGTTTTGATTATAACAATAAAATGCTTTCTTTTGAATGTTTGTTAGTACCGGAATTAACGTTGCAGCTGTTGCAGAAAAAAAAACCTAACCCGCGTAAGCCATTTTTATTGTTTATGAATGTAAAAATAAAGTAATAAATATTATTACAGAATAATAAAGTACGTTGAATATTGTATTATTGATATGTATTGTATCACTGCATCCTTGTTTGTTTCATTGATTGAAAAGCACACTGCATAAGAAATCTATGCAGGTGGCTTGAAAAATCGATTCTAACTGGCATTTACTGATTGCTGAAAGAAGTGGTTTTCATGAGAAATAAACGAGAAAATCTTCAGTGGATGTAAAATTAATATATTCCTATGAAGCACAATTTACTCATAAACTTCTAGTGAGAAGACGAAAACCCTTGCTGTGTCCTTCAACATAAAGAAATATCGACCACGTTTTATCAATTAACAATACTCACTTTCATTCATGTGTCGACTCGACGTATCCCAGTGAGCTCGAAATAAAAGACACCACCGAGTCTGCTACATCTGTTTTACTGACTATAGATTATAATGGCCAACTAATAGATGTAACTAAACTGAATGACTTTCAACTTTTCCCCCCAGTTTTTCAACCTTTCTTATTTATATTGCAATATTCTAACATCTCCTGGATAAAAAGGTAAAGATAACGAATAGTGATCCATCTTAAAAACCTACAAATAATACAAGTTTGTGAACAGGACATAAAACACGGACCCTCGGAAACGGTGCATAGGAAGAGTAAGCATCGCCTATCCACCAGTCAAACCCGCCGTGAGTCTTGATCAGGTAGACGGGATATGTAATAGAAACCAAAGGCCTAACAATAAGTATGAAATACATGTATGTCAGTTAAAATACATGTATGTCAGTCAAAATACGACCCAATGATAGGTTATACTTACTAACAACGTCATTATAACGAATAATATTATAACGAACAAATTTCGTGCTGACTTTAAATGAGGTTTGAAATCCTTGCAACATCAACTTATCCGTCTGAAGCCTGCCTTGGTTTAAATATTGTTCGTATTCAGAGCATGCACACTTTTGAGTATCGAATAAGTTTGAAGACAAAAACAATATATGCAGGTGATAGCGGAATATTAATACATAAAAACGGAAAACTGACGATGGAAAAACTGAAGTCATCTCGTGTGTCATACGGTTTAGTTATGTTCCCCAAACGAAGTTTGGGAACATATTGTTTTTACTCTGTTTCTTATTATTATTATTATTATTATTATTTTTCTTCCTGGGTACTTTTTTGTCTGTGAGTGATCTCCAAAACTATACATCCGATTGAGTTGAAACCTTTTTAGGGTTAATAGGAATGTTATGTAGATTTGCGGAACGAAGGTCATTTTGCGCGCACGTACATGCACGTGCGTGCGCGTGCAATGAGTAAAATGACCAATATACTTGATATAGCCATAACTTTCATATCTTTTGATGAAATACTTTGATACTCAGAATATAAGGATATATTAATAGTGTAGACAAGATGACATATTTCAATCAATGCACATGCATGCACGTGCACGCATGCGCATTGATTGAAATAACCAATACAATTGATATAGACTTAACGTACATTTTTTGATGAATTGCTTTGACACTCAGAATATAAATATATATTAGAAGTGTAGACAAGAAGACTTGATCAGCGCACACATGCATGCACGTGCGTGTGCGTGCAATGTGTAAAATGACAAATATACTTGATATAGCAATAACTTTCATATCTTTTGATGAAATGCTTTGATACTCAGGATATCAGGATATATTAATAGTGTAGACAAGATGACATGGTCAGAATGCACATTCATGCACGTGTGCGCATGCGCAATGATTGAAATAAGCTATACAAATGATATAGACTTAACTTGTATATTTTTTTTATGAATTGCCTTGAAACTCAGAATATAAATATATATTAGAAGTGTAGACAAGATGACATGATCAGCGCGCACATGCATGCATTTGCATGCACGTGCGTGCGAGTGCAATGAGTAAAATGACCAATATACTTGATATAGCCATAACTTTTACATTTTTATGAAATGCTTTGATACTCAGAATATATAGACATATTATAAATGTAGACAAGACGACATTGTCAACATGCATATGCATGCACGTGCGCGCGCATGCAATGATAAAATGACCAATATACTTGATATAGCTGTAACTTTTATACTTTTCGATGAAATGATTTAATACCCAAAATATGTAGATATATTAATAGTGTTGACAAGAAGACACGGTCATCATGGACATGCATGCAAGTGCGCGCGCGTGCAATGCGTAAAATGACAGATATACTTAATATAGCCGAATTTTTTTTTTATCTTTTAATGAAATTTGAATCTAAAGATGTATTAAAAGTGTAGACAAGTTGACATGGTCATTTTGTACATGCATGCCCGTGCGCGCACGTGTAATGCGTAAAAAAAAACCCAATATACTTTATTGCCTTATTTAATGAAGATTACAGGGAATAGGACACCAAAAGGAAGTTGGGGAGCGTTTGGGGAACATCTGTAACGGTCCCCGTTACAATTAATACTAGTTGTTAGTTGGCCCCTATCATCTATAGTCAGTACAACATCCAAAT